GCCACCCCCGAGAACAAAGGACGGCTACTTACTAGTCAATTACCCGTTCGCAACAATGTTGCAACGGGTAATTGAGGACACACTTCACACAGGGGAGGTCTGGTTGTTCGGTATTTTCATTCGAATAAACTAAGGGAATGAAACTACCGAACAATCAGAGGAATACAATTCTTTTAACACACATAGAAAACTAGCAGATCACACGAATGCAGTGATTTCAAAGACATTTGCAGGACAGCCCAGTGCCATCCGCTACACTGCTCCCCCTTGCCCACAAGCCGGCATACACAGTCTGATCCAACACGGATTGGCTTGGGGATGTCCGGGGACTCACGGATCATTTTTCCAGGTCAGTTTGTCTCGACAACCCGTCGGCATTCCCATTCTGCTTACCCGGGCGGTACTGAATATTAAAGTCAAAAGGCTGCAGCGCCAAACTCCAGCGCAGCAGCCTGGCATTGTCCCCAGCCACCCGGTTTAGCCATACCAGCGGGTTGTGATCCGTGAGTAAGGAAAAGGGCTGTCCATATAGATACGGCTGCAGTTTCTTTAAGGCCCACACCACAGCCAGGCATTCCTTCTCGATGGCGGCGTAGCTTACTTCTCGGGGTAACAGCTTGCGACTGATGTAAGCCACGGGGTGTTCTCCGCCATCGGCCCCGACTTGGCTCAGTACTGCTCCCAATCCAAACATAGAAGCGTCTGTGTGAACAAGAAAACGTTTAGTTGGATTGGGAGCTGCCAAGACAGGAGCATTTATCAGTGCATTTTTCAGATGTTGGAATGCCTGCTCACACTCCGGGGTCCAGGTCACCTGGCGGGGCAGATTCTTCCGGGTAAGGTCAGTGAGGGGCTTGGCGAGGGCGCTATAGTTAGGGACAAACTTTCTGTAATACCCAGCGGTCCCTAGAAAGGCTAACCGACCTGAAAGCTACGGTCCCTGGCTCCCCGATCATACCATGTGCACTGGCGGGTCTGTGCCGCCTGAAGGTTTTCCCTTACCGTCCTAGTTAATGCTTCCAGGCGGTCTCGGAGGGCCAACACATATGGTATGATGGGAGTGCCATCTGCGCTCCGATCTCCCTCCCAATGCTCTCTTATAAGATCTAAGGGGCCTCTGACTCTCCTCCCAAATAGCAGTTCAAGCGGGGAAAACCCTGTGGATTCCTGCGGCACCTCCCGGTAAGCGAATAGGAGATGCGGTAGGAACCGCTCCCAGTCCTTGTGGGTCTCTGCGAAGGTTCGCAGCATTTGTTTCAATGTACCATTGAACCGTTCGCAGAGCCCATTAGTCTGGGGGTGGTAAGGGGCACTGATAATAGGCTTAATGCCACAGATCCTCCAGAGGTGTTGGGTGAATTCTGCGGTAAATTGGGTACCCTGATCCGAGATAATCTCCCTGGGTAATCCCAACCGGGAGAATATCTGCATGAGGGCATCCGCGACCGTTTCAGCGTGAATGTTGGTCAGAGCCACTGCCTCTGGATATCTAGTAGCATAGTCTACTACCGTTAAAATGTACCTTTTGCCTGACGGGCTAGCTTTCTTGAGGGGGCCTATCAAGTCTACCGCTATTCGGCTAAAAGGTTCCTCAATTATGGGCAGGGGGTGTAGTTTCGCCTTCCTCCGGTCTCCCCTTTTCCCTACCCTTTGGCAGGTATCGCAGGTGGTGCAATACCTGCGTACCTCCTGGCTGATCCCTGGCCAGAAGAAACTTTGGGTCAGTCGGTACCTAGTGCTATCCGGAGTAGCTCTGCTCGGTACCGCTGCGGCACCACTAGCTGCCTCATCACTATTGTGTCTGACCCATCAATCCGCTTGTCTGTCTCCCTGTACAACAGCTGCTTGTCCCAGACAAATCTCTCTCCCTCTCCCCCAGTCAGGTCTGCTGTCACCTTGTCCCTATACACCTGCAAGGTGGGGTCAGTCGCTATCTCAGCTGCAAATTCATTAGGAGGGGCCCAGGGAACACAGTCAAGGGAAGGGGAAGGGTCTCTTACCTGAACCTCCGGAAGTGTGTTGTAGTCCTGGGTGCGGGCCTGTTGACGGGTGACCACAGGGTGAGCTTCTCCTGTGGTGGGTGTCTGGGGCTCAAAAGCAGACATGAGCCTCCCCAGATCGTTCCCCAACAATACCTCCGCCGGTAACTGCGGCATCAACCCCACCTCCACATGCCCTGCCCCCGTTCCCCAATGTAAATGTACCCTTGCTGTAGGTAGCCGGTACACTGCTCCCCCAGCTACCCTGACGGCCACAGTTTTACTCAGTTTCGCTTGATCCGACACCAGGTGACTCTTCACCAGGGTGATAGTGGCCCCTGAGTCATGTAATCCTTGTACTGCTTTACCCTCCAGGTATACGGTCTGCCTGTGATGCTGTCTGTTATCAGCATTGGCCTGGACTGGATCCGCCTCGTGCAGTACTTCCCACTGTTCCACGGTTGTTATGGGAACGGCTGAACCATATGGTGTAGCCACTATATCTTGGTAGTGGTGGGCTGCGGCTGCTCTTGGTGGTGGTGGTGGGCCGGGGCGAATCCAGGTGGAACGATCCCTCAGCTGGGGACATTCCCTTTTATAATGTCCCCATTTCTGGCAGTGATGACAGGGGCCAGAAGTGGGCTGGCGAAAACGTGGCTGCGCAGCGGGTGGTGGTGGTGGCAGTTGTCTCGGTGGAGCTGGGTTGTAGCTGTTTCCTCCAAATGTTTTAAAGGTGGCTTTTGGGGCTGCCGGTTTCTGCTGCCTGCGTGCATCCAGGTACTCATCTGCCTTCCTGGCAGCTTCGGTGAGGGAGGTAGGGTTTCTGTCCCTCACCCATTCCTGGACATCGCTGGTTACCCCCTCATAAAATTGTTCCAACAACACCATTTGTAATAAGTCCTCCATGGACCGAGCCTTATTGGACTGTACCCACCCCAGGGCGGCCCGATGTAATTTGCAAGCCCATTCCACATGAGAGTCCTTGTCCTTTCTCTTTAGGTCTCTAAACCGCTGCCGATATGCCTCTGGCGTGATTGCATATCGGGCCAGGATCACCTCTTTTACTCTGCGGTAATTCTGAATTTCCTCATCAGGTACAGTTCTATAGGCTTCAGCAGCCTTCCCTGTGAGCTTCCCTGCTAAAATAGGCACCCACTCGTCTGGGCTAATATTATGCAATGCACACAGCCTTTCAAAGTCTTGGAGAAAAGCATCTATATCCTCCTCTGCTTCTACATACGTTTTAAAGGCTTGGTAAGGAATTTTTGTCTTACCCTGTGTGATGGTAGCTGTGGTAGCATTCCTCTCCAGCTGCTGTAGTGGCCTTTGACGCAGTATAAACTCCTGCACCTCTGTCATTGTCCTGGATATAATATCCGCTGTTGGATTCTCTCCATAAAAGGACAGCCTTAACTGCAGCTGTCTCTGGAACTCCTCTTTTTCAGCTCCATCTGCTGCACTCTGCTGCTCAGGGATTGCCCTATCCTCCTGCTGGTATTCAGCCATCACTTCTGCAATGAGGATTGCTTTCCTTTTGTTGCTGGCTGCAATACCTTTCGCTTCCAGGAGATCTTTTAGCGTGGATCTTTTAAGCTTGGCATAATCACTCTCCATCCGTATTCCATTAGTCCTTGTTCCCTTGTGAGTCTGGATCCCAGCGCTGCCAACCAATGTAGCGGAGATGCAATATTCCCCAGGTTATCTCCGCTTATGATCCAAGTGAGGCTCAGGAACAAGCAAATAATAAATCCACAGGCAAGGTTTCCAGCAGGTAAAATAACAGCAATATCCCCACAGCAATCCCAATAACTGGACGACACACAGTTTCAGGAGCAGAACTGAAAGCTTTAATCCACAGTCTCCTTTTAAAGCATGCTCCCATGCAAGGGAGGGATTTACAATAATTATTACAGTAGCCAATCCTGTCCTGGTAACCTCCCACACATCTCCTCCCCTCAGCCAGCATCATAATCCCCTTATCCAGTACAGTAATTCCCCCCGTTTCTGGATGTACCCCTAAACGTAGGGGTACCGCTTTAAATCCTACATCCCCGGATACCCCTGATCTGGGTGAACAACATATCCAAAAATCACCCAGATCAGACCAGGGGTTCGGGAAATGTATGGAGGGAATAAAATGACCGACCGCACTAACTGAGATAGCCGAATGAGGTTCCATGCGAATGGGCCCTGCGGTCGGTCCTGGCATAAGGGAATTAAATACACGAAAACCTCTAGCTATAGAGGCTAGGGAGGGTTCGCCTGAATCCCCTCGTTCGGTTCTTTCTATCTACCGAACGAGGGGCCGTTCGGTAGTTTGGAACCGAACGGACCGGGCTTGTGGAGGTCTCAGCGGTGTTCGCCTACTCGAGTGTCCGATTTTAGTTCCAGACACTCGACGGCAAAACACCGCTGTTCGGGAGTTTTAAAATGGCCGCCGCCACGTGTTCGTTTGTCGAATGGCGGCCACCCCCGAGAACAAAGGACGGCTACTTACTAGTCAATTACCCGTTCGCAACAATGTTGCAACGGGTAATTGAGGACACACTTCACACAGGGGAGGTCTGGTTGTTCGGTATTTTCATTCGAATAAACTAAGGGAATGAAACTACCGAACAATCAGAGGAATACAATTCTTTTAACACACATAGAAAACTAGCAGATCACACGAATGAAGTAATTTCAAAGACATTTGCAGGACAGCCCAGTGCCATCCGCTACAATGGGTATTGAAGGTTGTAGGAAAGCTCTGCCTATACAAGCTTGGAACCCATTTTGAATTACCACTCTTCATAGGAATGTGTAACACAAAAGTAGTGCATGGAAGAAGGTACTATATAAGACATCCAGGTATACTCTTGTTGGTGGGAGGCAGCTACTGGTTGGCCCTGTGCCATAGGTTCCTCATTACTGGCCTACACCATTTTGTTATAAACATTTCATAGAATTAAAGGATTAACCTTATTTGGGACGAAAATTGTAAAGCTAAAATCATGACATAAAACCCATTTACACAACATGTTTCTCTACACATAACATTTATTTTGTACTCCGACATAAAACAAAACAGCTCAAACAAAATCTGTAATAAAAACAATGATTTTCAGAATATATAAAAACATTAAATACAAAAAAATAGATCAATTAGGTCAGATATGTTCTTCGTTAGGTACATAACCTAATATATTGTATGACCAGGATATGTACAATGTATATATAACTTTCTAAATTAGGCAACAAGATTGTCTCACTCACTGTTCCCTTTGGGTTGAAGCTGCATTGTCTGCCCAGTACTGATAACATTATACAGGAAGACAGTTTGGCATTACTGATATCAAATATAATGTATCCCCAATGATGTCACTGAAACACAGATCTCCATTTGGGGTCTTATAAGAACTTGTTTGCGAGCCCCTGATTTATAGGGCTCAAATTCACTCTAACATTTATATTTCGACCATTAGACAGCTATGGATCCAGAGACCTAACGTAATTTCTGATAATAATGGGGTGAGTTCTTGTGAGTACTGAAGTCTCAGTAGGAGTTCCTTATCATGGATGTTTGCATTACACCTGCTGTTTTTTTACCAACAATTCTTACGGCTGGACTGGATCATGCAGAAAAATCTAAGACAATCAAACCACTATGTGTTTTACAGCATTTTTATGTATTATGTGTTGAGAATAATTATTTTGCAAGCAGTAGGACATTAAACAGTATATTATATAGGAAGACATTCTTCCATGTAACATGTCATGGTCCCCGTAGATTAATTTGTATGTACAGTATACAGTAACAGTCAGTATAAATTTATCATCGACATGAGCTGTCTTTCAACTACAATTAAAACAGCTCTCTAAAATTGTATGTGTTGGAAATATTGTTAAAAAATTCACACAATCAAGACAATTTTTTTTTTTAAATGTAAAAAAAATTAAAAAATTGAATAAAAGAATACAAATATAAAAAAAGTGGAATAATGAAAACCCATGTTCAATATTAGTACAGTTGTGTATAGTTCATCAGTGTTCCATCTGTGGATGGAGTCTGTGGAGGTGTGTTGTACTCCTGGGAGTGATTATCCTTTGCAACTTGCCACTTGGTGAGATCTAACCATTAATATATACTATTTGGAACACTGATAAACTATACTGATACACAGCTGTATAATACTGTACTAATATTGGACAATAGTTTTAATTATTTAGATTTTTTTCACATTTTTCTTTTTTCCATTTTTTAAAATTTTCTTTTCAAAAACTTTTTTGTGGGGATTAATAATAACTAGTGGTTATTTCCACTTACACATACTTACTGTTTTTTGGCAAGCAGCCCAGTAATAGAGATAAAAAATTAACTTTAGCAATTGTAAATAATTTGAGTTTGCTATTAATGTTATTTTTTTGTTGTAATGCTTTGGAGGTAGTTAGGTGGGTACGCCTCAATACCCAAGGAGCCAAGAGAGTGCCAGCACTATAGTTTAATTTATTGATTAAAAAAATATTTAAATTTAAGACACAGCACTTATAAAAGAGCTATAAAATAGTACAAAGAATCATCATTTTAAGAGGCACATTAAAGTCTAGGTACCATAAGCACTTCACATTACACAGCTCACTGAGGCCACTCATTTTCGGAAGCAATTATAATAGTTGCCACTATTATAAAATATTAGCCAGGCAGCTGGAACAGAAAGTAAGGAACTACCTAAATATTCCTTAAAATGTAAACATGTCTTCCTTCTATTCCATGTTTTGCATGCACCATAAAAACATTGTAGAAAAAAAAATCTACATCTTTGAAACTATTTCAGCACTATTTTTTTTTTAAACATTTTCCATGTGTAGTAAACAATGATGTGCTATAAAATAATTTGTAGAATTAAGGAAGAGGAAATAAAAATGGTAGGTAGAAAGCCTCGATAGCTCTCAACATTGGAAGGTATGAAAATGGGACGGGTGGGCAGCCTTTCAATGACACAACGTACGTCACTGGTGACACCAATAAGAGAGCTTGCCCAGAAAGTGGCTGGACCCACCTACTGAAGACATGTCCTGCTAAAAGCAAGAGAGTTGGGAGACCTGAAGACCTGGCAGGTTACATGGTTAATATTAAAATTTAATCATTAATCTATGTACACAAGGCCAAGCTGACAAACTATCCATTAAGTCAAGGTGTGACTGCTTAAATATCTGCCCTTAACCCGTGGTATTAAAAATCAAACACATATATCCAGGTCTCAAAATAGTTTATCACTTCGTGTCCTAATGAATGGATTCACTCTCCATGATATACAAGCAGCTGTTTTGCTCTCTGTTGAAGTTGCACTGAGTAGTCTTGGGACACGGTTGGGACACGGTTCCACAATATATGATGCACATAAGAATAACAAGCATGTATATTAAAGTTCTATTGTCCATGTGGCTAGTTTTAAGAGGAAGATAGATTGGGATTATATTTTTGACATTGCATATGAAACAATGGCACCTTACAGTATCTTCATAGGGTTCAACCTAAAAAGAAAATAAGATGATTTTAGCTTTATAGATATTTTTTTTAAACACAAAATAAATACATACAGATTTCAGTTGAAATTAGGTACTTTTTCCACTTAAAAATGTATTCAAACTTAGTTTCTATAGCAAATGTTGATTTAAATAAACTGCCCAAGGAATGCAAGGTTGCATAAATCTTGACAGCTACATGAAGATTGAAATTGACTACAACCACACAGAGGATCTAGGTGGAGGAAACCCTAAAAAAGGATGAGAGCCCTTCCCCAGCAAGTCGGCAAGATGTGTTACGAACACCGCTATTCAGAGAGACCACTATCCTCCCCCAAAAAGGAAGAAATTAGGTTTGGCTTGATCTTCACTTGGGTAATGCTGCATGATATATAGTGATGAATGGAGACTCCCATGCAGGGAACTACAAAATATGTAACCTGATAACCTGCCACCCATGTGTTCCCTATTAAGGGTTAATAAGTATGTAGGGTTTTAGAAAAGTACCCCCCTCTCTGTCTCATTAGAGATTTCTTTGCCTGAAGCTGAAGGAAGTAAGGTGAGGTTTGCCTTGACATGGCAGGTGGGCTTACATCTAATGGCCATTGGAGTTACTAAAAACCCTCAATTTATTTAAATATGCATAGGGATTTGGGCTAGTACGCAGGTAACTTTTCTTTGGTTTTTATTGTATGTATTTATTGTATTTGGGCTGATGTGTGCTATGGTTGTTGCTGCCGCCCAGGAGTAGTGGTAGTTTGTTACATAGTTACATAGCTGAAAAGAGACTTGCATCCATCAGGTTCAGCCTTCCTCACATATGTTTTTGCTGTTGATCCAAAAGAAGGCAAAAAAACCTAGTCTGTAGCGCTTCCAATTTTGCAACAAACTAGGAAAAAATTCCTTTTTGACCCCAAATGGCAGTCAGATATCTCCTTGAATGAAGCAGCTATCCCTGTTTAAACATCTGTATGGACTCTGATAAAACCACCACTTGTGATTGTACTGCATTGATTGTTATTTTAATATTTTGGTCCCTGAGGAAGTCCCATATTCTGTAGAAGGGACGAAACGCGTAGGACCTTTATTTGTATTTATTTTATATTTTTAAACAATTAAAGCCGCTTTTTTCATATCTTCACCTGGAGTCCTGCATTTTGAGTGGAAGTGTCCAGGGGATTTCTCTAGCCCCCCATATCATCAGGGGTGGCAACATATATGCCTGAACTGTCCAATATCCTGTGAGTGCATTTCATATTGCGCAGTGTTAATATTTTAAAACTGTATTACACTATACCTCTTTTTATTTATCTTCATTTAGACAATCAGCCGGTTCCCTCGTTGTGTTTTGTATATTCTTGTGTTCAAGTTGATTGCTAGCTGGGAGCGATCTGAGGGAGGCTGCATTCACTAACCACTGATAAGTATCCTTGTATATAAGTGTGTGTATAAGGTGCATTTCTTTTTGGTTCCATTCCATATTGCATTGTATGTCTGTGTTATCTGGGCTGCTTGGTTTGGTCTGGACACGGTTTAAGCTGTGCAGGAAAAGGTATCGTGCGTGTTTTCAGAGTGCAACATATCACTACTGTAACCTGTAGCCTGAACAAATGATTTGGTTGCAAATTGGAGTTCCCAGATACGTAGCAGTTCTAAACTCACCGGACTGGATGTTATGCCAGCTTCCCAGATCCCTGAACTCCAAAGGACGTAATGAGAATATTAAAAATGACAATAATAAAGACCAGGCCTGTGGCAGCATTGTTGAGGTTCTCAAGTGTAGCATGTTTAGCTGGGTCGTTAAGGTCATGCTTCACTGCAAAAAAAAAAAACCAACACATTTTCAATGGCAAACATTTTCAGAGGTTTTAGCAATGCTTATATTGTGGATTTCAGAAAATGGTTAACCTGAAATTAAATAAAAAAAATACAGGCATGCTAAGCAGTACATTTGCATGAATGTGACATGGTGGCAGCGTGAAATAATACAATTAAACCTATACACAGTACACAATTAATATATAGCAAATGCATACACTATGTACACTGATCAGCCACAACATTAAAACCACTGACAGATGAAGTGAATGACATTGATTGCATCGTTACAGTGGCACCTGTCAATGGGTGGGATATATTAGGCAGCAAGTGAACAGTCAGTTGTTTTGGCAGCATGAGGGGGGCATACATAATATTAGACAGCTGGCTTTACTGTTGTGGCCGATCAGTGCATAGATTGCACATTATCCCTTGATAAAGGTTTTAGCTTACAGTGCTATGGGAGAATCATAGGGCAGTTGTGTCAAACTGGGAACCTTTAGAATTACACAATCCTCTGCCAGCTTGTGGATATTAGAAAACGATAGGGGTTGTAGTTCAAAATATCTGGGTGGCTGCAGTTTAACCCCCGCTGGCACAGCGGTACAAACTTCAAGTATGGTTTCTGCATAAGGTGGTCACCAAGTTGTCTGATACCACTATGTCAACCCATAACGGGGCTTTGCGACCGTGAATGGAAGCAAACCTAGCCAGCAAGGCATGTAGCAAACATCAGGTACATTTATATTTTAATACGCAAAAATGCATTTTGATCATTGCTCAAATGAAATTTTAATACTTACAAGTGAAATAACCTCAAATAGTGTAACACTGTACATAAAAAAATTAAAATGGGAATTGGTATCTATTGCACTCCCAAAGGTAACATTGATTGAAGGCATATCATCAGATTTTGATTACATTGCCTTCAATCAATGTTACCTTTGTGAGTACAATACTTACCAAATTCCCATTTTAATCTTTTATATACAGATGTTGGAGTTTATTTTACTTGTAGATATTTGATCTATGAAGACTGAAAGGTGTTTTGCTATATCTACATTTTAAGGGTAAATAAGTTTCTATCCTTTGTATTTACTGGTGGTGCCTAAAATTTGGGGGTGTTATCTGTGTTTGTTGAAATTTTAATACTTATCTGAAATAGATAAGACTATATCCTTCTAATCAAATGATAAAACACATCTCATTGCAGGTGAGGTAAAAATAAATAAAACACAACAACAACAAAAAAAAACCCTTAACAAGCAAGACATGTCAAGCTTGTTTAGACACAGCTTCATCTCCTGCTTCTCCTGTATGTTTTTTGCTAGAATTAATGGTTTGTCTTGTTTTACCTATTGGACAACACTGAGCAATATGTTGGCTCAAAATAATAATTTTAATCTTACACCTACCTCTGCTGCTGATTGTAATGTGCATATACATTTATGATCAGCTTCATCGTGACACAAACAGAGTTATTCCCTAAAGCATGAACCACACATTGTTAACTTCGATTGTTATTTTTTTTTCCGAATTATGCTTTTCTGTGAAAGTCACAATTCAGTGAATAACCCTGCAACTATAAAACGTTGACACATCCTGGTAAAAGTGTTGTTTGCATAATGAAGCAGAAGTAAAAATAAAAGTATTACGTCTTGTTAAAGAGAATGTGTGAGTTTACGGGAGTCTAAGGATAATGAATTTGGATTAGGTCAAGGTTGGTAGACAATAGACAGACAGATTGATACCAACCAATGAAGATTAGGAGAATGCCCACCACAATTTGCAATATGAGTGAGAGCGATATAAAAATGATGAGGGGGACGTAGTAGTTGAAAGTGGGTCCTTGATCTATGACAGCTTTCATTTGGGAGGCGTTCGCCATGAGGAGAGCTATATCCAGCATACTTTCTGCTGCACTTTTTTTGTTTGCGTAATGATTCATGTTCAGCACTTCATGACTTTTAGTGTAGTTCTGAAATAAATGTAAAAAAAAATAAATACATTAAATTATAACGCATTGAGTGGAAGGTTATTAGACATGTAATATGTCAATAATAAGCCAAACACACAGTAAAGACAAGTAACTTTTTTCTTTGGTTTTTCTAATTTGCAGAGTCAAAAGCTTTAAAAAAATTACAAAGAAATTAACAAATATCTATCAAGTATTCTGATAAAGATAAGAATATTGTGATTCTTGATAAAGAGCCATATATGGAATGACTAATAGGGTCTGATAGGTCCACATACAAGTTTCTTCAAGGAACACTATAGGACCAGGAACACAAACATGTGTTAAAAACACTATGTAGCCCCCGCCACCACTCCAATTTCCCCCTAAATATAGTAAAATCTTACTTTTATTTCAGTCTGCTGGTGTTGGCTCTGTCCATGACCTGCATAATTGGCTGACATCATTAGAATTGATGATGTCAGCCAATTACAATGCTTTCCTACAGGAAAGCATTGGATTGGTTGAGATTGTCAATTTTGATGATCTCAGCCAAAGAGGAGGGCCGGGGGACTGAGCCAAACGTCGCCCTAGCCCTTGAGTCAATGCATCTCTAGGAGGAAAGTTCAGTGTCTCCATATATTGGGTGGAGACACTGAATGTCATTCTGCAGCGCTGACCCAGGAAGCACCTCTAGTGGCCATTTGAGGAGTGGCCATTGGAGGTGTCCCTAAGCTGTAATGTAAGCACTGCCTTTTCTCTGGAAATACAGTGTTTACTGCAAAATGTCTGCAGAGAATATTTCTACTCACCAGAAAAACGACATTAAGCTTTAGTTGTTCTGGTGACTACAGGGTCCATTTAAACAAGATCAAACAAAAAGATTTCTTAAAGAACTTAAAAGTCTTCTTCAGGAAGGGTTAAATGAGAAATATATCTTGAAAGTGGAGTTAGATTTCATGTATAATGGTTCGCTTCGAATTACCGCCTACACATATTACTGATTTTGATTTCAGTATTTTTTAATAGTTGATCTAGCTGTGCCTTAGTGTGACTTTGGGGTTTAGTCTAGGCTTAACTAAGTTAATGATCACATACTGATTGAATGAAATATATGTAATAGCCCCATATGTGTGAACAGATTCAGACATTATGGTATGATTCCTGCTGATCTTTAGGTAGAGTATAAATTACCGTCGTTTTTACAATAGGCTGCTCCACACTCTAAGTTTGCAGGACTTTCTAGAAACTGGATCAAGTTAGGCCTTTTCAGTGATTAACAATCTCCCTAATTAACTTATGGTGACTTACAATTCTGGTGCAGCAGCACAGATTTATCAAGGGATCTATAATCAAAGGACCAAAGGTCAGTAGACAGCCAGTGAGGGCAGACTTAGAGCTGCAATGTAAACCTTGCAGTTTCTCTTATGACTCTCAGTTAGCTCTTGGTTCTGAGATATAGCCCATTTATGATGATGTATGGTATGGGTCTAGCGTAAAGGGCGTGGCAAAACGGTGGAGATTCGAGTGACATTCTTTTCGGTTTTGTGGATATGCTTTATGCTAAAAGCCAGGATGTTATGTAAATGTGTTAAGATTAGTGACAATTTTTGTTATGTAACACCCAATTAATCCACTCATGAAGACATTATGTCACCTTTAATAGGAGACCAAGACAAACCCTGGCACCTCATATTTGCTGCAACACATGTTCTGTGACTCTATGTGGATGGTTAAATTTAGAGAGAGTCCTCATATCATATAAATATGTCTGTATGGTATCTCCTATTACGATTTGTCTTGTGAAGATAAGAGAAGGTGAATGTGGAATAACCCAAAATCCTATCAGCTAACCAGTGCCACATGGGGACAATCTACCTGTACCTCACCCTCCAGAAGAGTACAGTACAGATGAAGATGGGGACAGTGTAAAGCAGAAATCACCTAATCCTTCATTATCACAGGATTCTAATTTTGCACCACAATCTGAGACACCGAACAAGCAACACAGAATTACTCTAATTTCATATCCGACTTATCGAAAGATAAACCAGAGCTTCTAGGATCAAGGCTACCACAGTAGACTTTTTTACAACCTAAGTGTCAAAGTGTCTGTATACAGGAGTTGGCAAAAAGATTTGCTTCCATATTTCACATTTTGGAATTGATTTTGAAAATATGACTGATCATGCAAAAAATGTCTTTTATTGAAGAATAGTGATCATATGAAGCCATTTATTATCACAGAGTTGTTCGGCTCCTTTTTAATCATAATAACAGAAATCACCCAAATGGCCATGATCAAAAGTGTACATACCCTTGAATGTTTGGCCTTGTTACAGATATAACAGATGTAACATTGCTATATGGAGAGATCATATACTCAGTAACTAGGTGCCAATGCTCAACAGCACTTCCTCAAATACCCAGTAAAATCAAATATTATACAAAAAGAGATTGCACACTAGACTACTCCTAAGTGACACGTATAAATGCTTTATTAAACCAAGATAGGTCATAACAAACACAAAGCAAATAATCAAATGCAGCATCAAATCAGATTTGAAGTAACAATAACAAGGCAAATAAATTAAACAGTGGTACTAACCACAACTTACTCAAGCCGAAACACAAGCCCCTAATACCCCCAATGTTTCAGCACCTCCTGCCTGCTTTTATCAAACACCCTTGAGAAAGGCAGCCAGGAGGTGCCGAAACGTTGGGGGTATTAGGGGCTTGTGTTTCTGCCAGGATAGGCTTGGGGAGCAGAAAATAACTGTCAAAAGACCTGCGTAACAAGATAATGGAACTTTATAAAGATGGAAAAGGATATAAAAAGATATCCAAAGCTTTGAAATGCCAGTTAGTACTGTTCAATCACTTATTAAGTAGTGGAAAATTCGGGGTAGACCAAGAAAGATTTCTGCCACAACTGCCAGAAGAATTGATTGGAATTCAAAGAAAAACCCACAGGTAACATCAGGAGAAATACAGGCTGCTCTGGACGGTGTGGTTGTTTCAAGGAGCACAATACGATGATACTTGAACAAAAATGAGTTGCATGGTCGAGTTGCCAAAAAGAAGCCCTTACTGTGCCATTGCCACAAAAAAGCCCAGTTACAATATGCCCAACAGTAACATGACATGCCTCAGCTTATGGCACACTGTAATTTGGAGGGATGAGACCAAAATAGAGCTTTATGGTCACAATCATAAGCGCTATGTTTGGAGAGGGGTCAACAAGGCCTATAGTGAAAAGAATACCATCCCCACTGTAATGCATGGTGGTAGCTCACTGATCTTTGGGGGTGTGTGAGCGCTAAAGGCATGGGAAATCTTGTGAAAATTGATGGCAAGATGAATGCAGCATGTTATCAGAAAATATTGGCAGACAATTTGCATTCTTCTGCACGAAGGCTGCACATGGGACTCTCTTGGACTTTCCAGAATGACAATGACCCTAAGCACAAGGCCAAGTTGACCCTCAAATGGTTACAGCAGAAAAAGGTGAAGGTTTTGAAGTGGCCATCACAGTCGCCTCACCTTATTATCATCGAGCCACTCTGGGGATATCTCAAACGTGCGGTTCATGCAATACGACCAAAAACTTTGCATGACCTTGAAGCATTTTGCCAAGACGAATGGTCAGCTATACCACCTGCAAGAATTAGGGGCCTCATAGACAACTATTACTAAAGACTGCACACTACCATTGATGCTAAAGGGGGCAATACACAGTATTAAGAACTAAGGATATGCAGACTTTTGAAAGGGGTCATTTCATTTTTTTCTTTGTTGCCATGTTTTGTTTTATGATTGTGCCATTCTGTTATAACCTACTGTTGAATATGAATCCCATAAGAAATATAAGAAATGTCTTTTGCCGGCTCACTCATGTTTTCTTTAAAAACTGTACATATATTACCAATTCTCCAAGGGTATGCAAACTTTTGAGCACAACTGTGTATATTTTTTTTGTAATATTATATTGTTATATACCTATTGTATATACACATTGTTTTTGGGCCCAGGACTGAGATTATCACTTCTGATGATGCCATCAGAGACAAATGCAGCCCTGACCAATCTGCATCTCCTCATAGAGATGTATTGAATCAGGGGAGCAAGATAGTGTTTTTTACACTGTAGGGTCAGGAATACATATTTGCTGACTTTTTAGTGTTCCCTTTAGGAATCTTGGATGGTGTGCAAATTTGTTAACTCCTTACAGAAGAAAACATCAGGCGAGTCCTCAAGGCAGGGGCGGAATTATTGGTGGTGCAGCCGATGTGTCTGCACCGGGGCTTGCATGCTGAGGGGTCCACTGAGTCTAAGCACTAAGGGCCATCTGATGGGCATTTGTTTTCAGGGGCCCAGTTGTGCACTGTGGCTCTTTAACAGCGTGACTAGCCCTTGTAGTCTTGGCAGTGCTGGGAGAAAGTGAGAGGTCACTTCCTCCCAGCTAACATACATAAAGCCGTGTGCACGGGAGATAAGGGGATGATGCGAACTGACTCCCAACAGCAGCTACCAGCAAAAGCTACCCTCCTGCACCCAAAAGGTAAGAAACAGGAGGGTGGCTGAAAGATGATGAACATGTGTGTCTGTATATTTGTCATTGTGTGCATCTGTATCAATATATGTAAAGACAAAAAGGGAACTGGGGGCACACCTGGAACATGCATTTTACAGGAACATGCACCAATCTTGTTTCTTAAAATAATGTTTAGCTCATTTAGGACTAGCACTATTTAATTTGTCTTCCACGTTGGTTTTAGTGTAGGACCCACTGATATTGGAGTGCTGTGACGTAAGGGTGGCTTTAACCCAACTTGGCTATAAGGAACTGAATCCCCATGTTTGTTTACTGAGAGAGGTGATTTTAAATAGCCTTGTGAAACTGTATTTTTATGTGTGCGCTGTCCCTTAATCTCTATTATGTATTTGTATGTGTGTCAGTTTATGTATCTGCATGTCTGTATATCTGTATGCGTATCATGTGTTTAAATCTGTGTGTCTGTGTATCTGTATGTGTGTCAGTGTGTGTATCTGTATGCGTGTCATGTGTTTAAATCTGTGTGTTTGTGTATCTGCATGTGTATCAATGTGTGTTTCTGTGTATCTGCATGTGTGTCAGTGTTGTTATCTATGTGTATGTTTATGTGTGTCAGTGTGTGTATCTGTGTCTTTGTATATGCATGTGTGTTAGTGTTTGTATCTGTGCCTGTGTATCTGAATGTGTGTCAGTGTTTGTATTTGTGTTTCTGTGTATGACAGCCTGTGTATTTGTGTGTCTGTGTATCATGATGTGTGTCAGTGTGTCTGTATATGTGTCAGTGTGTGTATATGTGTATCAGTGTATGTGTACATGTGCATAAATCTCGACATTCAAATGCCACCACTGCACACAAATACACCTCTGCAATTAAACATCAACATTACATAGAAATACACCTTTATTAAAACACCAACATTATATGTAAATAAAAAAAACCTACACTCAAATTCATGCCTGCTTTCAAATGCCAACACTACATACAAACACACCCCTGCATCCGAAAGCAAACACTACACACAAGTAAACCACTGCTTTCAAATGACAACAGTGCATAGGAAAACACAAGTGCAGTCACAAGCCAACAGTACACACAAATACACCCCTACATTCACAAACATACCCCATACTTACATTCAAACACATAAACACTGCTGAGTGCTAAATACGACCCTACAAGAATGGGCAAATGGTACATTCCCAGCTGGCAAAGCACTGTGGAACTTGTATGATGATGGGGATCTACCTTTTGGCCACCTTTGCAATAGGGTGTGCCTGAATAAATTCTTGCACCAGGGCCCTCTCTATGTTATTTTCACCACTGCCTCAATAGCAATGAATGCTACCAGTCACTAATAGTTTAAAGGACCACTATAGTGCCAGGAAAACATATTTGTTTTCCTGGCACTATAGTGCCCTGAGGGTGCCCCCACCCTCAGGGACCCCCTCCCGCCCGGCTCTGGGGAGAGGAAGGGGGTTAAAACTTACCTTTCTCCAGCGCCGGGCGGGGAGCTCTCTGCCTCCTCTCCTCCCATTCGGCTGAATGAGCACGCGCGGCAAGAGCTGCGCGCGCATTCAGCCGGTCTCATAGGAAAGCATTTACAATGCTTTCCTATGGACGCTTGCTTGCTCTCACTGTGATTTTCACAGTGAGAAGCACGCAAGCGCCTCTAGCGGCTGTCAATGAGACACGAGAGGCTTTAGAGGCTGGATTAACCCATTTATAAACATAGCAGTTTCTCTGAAACGGCTATGTTTATAAAAAAATGGGTTAATCCTAGAGGGACCTGGCACCCAGACCACTTCATTAAGCTGAAGTGGTCTGGGTGCCTAGAGTGGTCCTTTAATAACTCATACTGCACATTGCAATCCCCACTATCTACTTTAAAGTGCTCAGTCATTCTGTATCTGAGTCCTGAGACACTCATGCTATTTGAAATCGTGAAGCTCCACACTGCAGGACTGGGGCTGTGACTGAGGGTTGAACTGATTCTAATTTCAATCAGTAATGATTTTTGCTTCTGTTATCCATGCCAGCTACTGCTGGGTTCCATATTAAGACTGCAGAGTAATCTTACTGCCAGCTGCAAAGGTAATAAGGAGTCTATCCATAGGCGTGCGCACGGGGTGTGCCGGGTGTGCCTGGGCACACCCTAATCCCGCGGCATGCCTATGTATTGAGACCGGCAGGGGAGATCTCAGGATCTCCCCTGTCGGCTCATGCAGAGCCGGCGCTATCCGAGCGCCGGCTCTGCTCTCTGCCTCCCTCCCCACTGACCCACATGCAGGGAGGGAGGCAGGAGAGGACCCGGCGGAGCTATTGCCGGCAGCTCCGCCGGGTTCCTCTCGCGAGATATGAGCGTTGCCATGGCAACGCTCAAATCTCGCGAGAGTGAACTCTAGCCCCACAGGGGGCTAGAGTTCACTCTCCACTGGACCACCAGGGATCACAGCAGCAAGGATCCCCTCCTCCACTGGACCACCAGGGAAGGAAGCAGCAGCACGATCCCCCCTCCCTACAAAAGGTAAGAAGGGAGGGGGGATAGCAAGTAATTTACCCCCACCTCCACCCCCACAATCACCCACCCACACACATACAACACACACACACACATACAGCACACACACACAGCACACACACATACAGCACCCACAGACATACACAGCACCCACACACATACAGCACCCACAGACATACACCGCACCCACAGACATACACAGCACCCACAGACATACAGCACCCACAGACATACACAGCACCCACAGACATACACAGCACCCACACACACATACAGCACCCACACACATACAGCACCCACAGACATACAGCACCCACAGACATACAGCACCCACAGACATACAGCACCCACACACGCCACAGCACTGCCCACACACATACCAGCACCCACACACATACAACACCCCACACACATACAGCACACACACACACAGCACACACACACACATGTACAGCACCCACACACATTCAGCACCCACAGACAGCCCACCAGCCACCCACAATTTATACGCACCCACACACACATTCAGCACCCACAGACATACACAGCACCCACCAGACATACACAGCACCCACACAGACATACAGCACCCACACAGCACCCACAGACATCCAGCACCCATAGACATACACAGCACCCACAGACATACACACCACCCACACACATACAGCACCCACACACATACAGCACCCATACACAGCACCCACAGACATACACAGCACCCACACACATACAGCACCCACACACATACAGCACCCACAGACACATACAGCACCCACACACACATACAGCACCCTCACAAACACATACAGCACCCTCACACACACATAGCACACTAACAGTACCCTCACAAACACAAACAGGACCCTAACAAACACACACACAGCACACTACCAGTACCCTCACACACAAACAGCACCTTCACACACAGTACATTAACAGCACCCTCACAAGCGCACACACAAACAGCACCCTCACACACAGTACATTAACAGCATCCTCACAAGCACGCACACACAAACACCCTCACCCACATAGCACACTACCAGCATCGTCACACACACATCACACTAACAGCACCCTCACACAGCACACACACACACACACAGCAGTGTGTGTATGTGTGTATATATGTGTATGTATATACATACATACATATATATATGCGGCTTGTGCTTGTGCTTTAGGGTGCACACCCTAATGCAATAGGCTGCGCACGCCTATGAGTCTATCAGAATCCTCCTGCTTTAACCCTGTGTATACTATACTGCGTTGAGAGTATGTGGCTCTCTATATTGTATGGATATATCTGCATTGTACTCAGTTTAGTATATTGTATAGGACTTGCTGTATACCTTTAAGTATGGTATGGATATTTCCGTGTTGTGTTGTATGGTGGTTACAAAGTTAAAGGGCGGGGTCAAATGCAGGGGGAGGAGTCTCTCACCCCACCATCAGGATAGTATGCATCTTTTTTTGACTACTGGCATACCCCACTTTTAAGTACACAATGGGACCAGAGCATGTGTGTAAAACGAAAATGTACTTAAAGTGAAGCAATACCTTTTTTCCCATCCCAATGCATGTACGACATTGCAATAGTAATTTACTGGCATAACTGATACTGCAACTGCAGATTTCCAGTGATTTTATTTCCAGTGATTGATTTAGTGATTTCCAGTGGGCTTTTATTCAGTTAAAACAAACAGTAACGATATCTAATTCCAGATTGTATAATGTATCTTCAAAGGTTTTACTCATCTGAGAACCTTAAACTGTGATGAAAAGTAAAATAAACCCGCCCACTGGGCCATTTTCTGTCAATTTTCTGCCAATTTGTATTTGTTAGCAGCTTAGTTGCACACTTTGTTTAGAAACACCTTGTTTAAGCATTTATGGTTTAACTTTGAATCCTCAGAATTCTGGCTAATGCAGCTAAGCTGCTAAGTCATAGTTATAGAAAATGGCAGGGTAAACCCTTTCACTGGATGGCGCCGATTGCAGAATATGGACAATGTATGGGCAGAAAAAAAATATAAATTCTTCAGGAAATTTACCAAAACACACCACTTTCTGTTGTCTTGGGTAAAATGAGGAAAACCTGTGTGTATAACACTACCAGCTTTGCATTAATACATTCTCAATACACTCCTTTTAATAGGTGGATATAGTTTACAAAAAGGATCAAAGTTAGAAGCCTTCCTGGCACTATAGTGCCCCGAGGGTGCCCCCACCCTCAGGGTCCCACTCCCACCGGGCTGGATGGCAAGGAAAGGGGTTAAACTTACCTTTTTTCCAGCGCCAGGCGGGGAGCTCTCTGCCTCCGATCCTCCTCGGCTGAATGCGCATGCGTAGCAGGAGCTGCGCGCGCATTCAGCCGGTCTCATAGGAAAGCATTCATAATGCTTTCCTATGGACGCTGGCGTCTTCTCACTGTGATTTTCACAGTGAGAATCACGCAAACGCCTCTAGCGGCTGTCAATGAGACAGCCACAAGAGGCTTTAGAGGCTGGATTAACCCATTTATAAACATAGCAGTTTCTCTGAAACTGCTATGTTTATATATATATATATAAAAAAAAAGGTTAATCCTAAGGGACCTGGCACCCAGACCACTTCATTAAAGGACCACTATAGTGCCAGGAAAACATACCCCCACCCTCAGGGTCTCCCTCCCGCCCGGCTCTGGAAAGGGGAAAAGGGGTTAAACTTACCTTTTTCCAGCGCTGGGCGGAGAGCTCTCCTCCTCCGATCCTCCCCGTCGGCTGCACGCGCGGCAAGAGCTGCGCGCGCATTCAGCCGGTCACATAGGAAAGCATTCATAATGCTTTCCTATGGACGCTGGCGTGCTCTCACTGTGAAAATCACAGTGAGAAGCACGCAAGCGCCTCTAGTGGCTGTCAATGAGACAGCCACTAGAGAATTAGGGGGAAGGCTTAACCCATTCATAAACATAGCAGTTTCTCTGAAACTGCTATGTTTATTAAAAAATGGGTTAACCCTAGCTGGACCAGGCACCCAGACCACCTCATTAAGCTGAAGTGGTCTGGGTGCCTAGAGTGGTCCTTTAAACTAAACCTGGCATTTGCGCTACATGTCTGTCCAACCGTAATTCACCTCTTTCATAGTAAATGCACCCACCCTTATTATATATCATTTTATTTTATTCAGGGGAAACAGGGCTTTCATTTAATATCAAATATTTAGCTATGAAACATAATTTAATATGAAAAAAATGGGAGAAAATAAGATTATTTTTAATTTTTTTAGTTCTACATGACATTTTAACGGTCAATGTCATAATACTGTTTGTTTTTACTGCAATAAAATACACATATTTGTATTCAGTAAAGTCTCACGTGTAAGTGTATCCCCTATGTACAGGTTTTATGGCGTTTTGGGAAGTTACAGGGTCAAATATAGCACGTTACATTTGAAATTGAAATTCGCCAGATTGGTTACGTTGCCTTTGAGACTGTATAGTAGCCCAGGAATGAAATTTACACCCATAATGGCATACCATTAGCAATGGCAGACAACCCAAGGTATTGCAAATGTCCAGTCTTTTTTAGTAGCCATTTGGTCACAAACACTGGCCAAAGTTAGCGTTAGTATTTGTTTGTGTGTGAAAAATGCAAAAAATGCCAATTTTGGCCAGTGTTTGTGACTAAGTGGCTACTAAAAAAGACTGGACATACCCTGTTTGCAATACCTTGGGTTGTCTACTATTGCAAATGGTATACCATCATAGGGGTTATTTTCATTCTTGGGCTACCATAGGGTCTCGAAGGCAACATAGCCAATCTGGCGAATTTTAATGTGAAAAAACTGAAATGCAAGCCTTATATTTGACGCTGTAACTTTTGAAAACACCATAAAACCTGTACATGAGGGGTACTGTTGTACTTGGGAGACTTCGCTGAACACAAATATTTGTGTTTCAAAACAGTAAAAAGTATTGCAGCAATAATATTGTCCGTGTAATGCTGTTTGTGCGTGAAAAATGCAAAAAAGTCACTTTTACTGGCGATATCATCGTTGTAATACATTTTACTGTTTTGAAACACTAATATTTGTGTTCAGCGAAGTCTCCCGAGTAGAACAGTACCCCCCATGTACAGGTTTTATGGTGTCTTGGAAAGTTATAGGGTTAAATATAGTGCTAACAAATTAAATTCCCTTGACTTTCGGCATGGGTTGTCAGGCAGGTCCCGCTAATTGTAATTAATTAAGATACCTAATTATGTAAAAATATTACATAAATATATATGTAGAATTAATATATGTATATATATATATATACGTATGTGTATATATATGTATATATCTATATAATTTTTAAAAAATATTTTTATTTATATATAGGTATATATATAGTGATATATATACGTATATATTTATGTATATAGATATATATATTATTTCGTTCTACGTGTATTTTGAGATATATATATATTAATTTCACAATACAGTTAGAACGAAATAACACACATCTATATAATTTTTAATTATTTATTTAATTTTATTTTTTTATATTATATATAAATATATATATATATATATAACAATAATTATATATATATTTAATCAGTATCAGTCTACGTGTAATTTGATATTAATATATATATATATATATATATATATATATATATAATAGTAAAATACACCTAGACGGTGTACGTGTGTGTATGTATGTGTAAATATATACTTAGATCATATATATATATATATATATATATATATATATATATATATATATATATATATATATATATGATCTAAGTATATATTATTATTATTTTTACACTATTTATTTAATTTTATTTCCAGCCAGCAGGGGGACCACCTGTCATTACAGGCAGCCCCCCTGCTGGCAATGCTGCAGCCAGCTACCCCCGGCCATGTGATTGTGGGGTCCTCGCAAGGACCCCACTCTCACATGGCCGGGGGGCTTCCAGGACGTCGGAGGTGCCGCGGGGGGCTCCCTTGGAGACCCCTGAACCGCGATCGCCGGCGACCGGGTAAGTAGGAAAAGACCAGAGGGTGTACTATTACGCCCGGCAGCGTTTAGAGCCGCTTAGAATACGGCGTAATAGTACGCCCTCTGGTCTTAAGGGGTTACATTAATTGTGGGTCTATAGCTATTGACCCTGCAGTCTCACTGCTCAATTCTCTGTCATTTAGGAGTTAAATCCCTTTTGTTTCTATTTATTAAGCCACTGGCTGTGACACACACAGTCTCCATGAAAATATGATTTACAGCACAGTATGTTTATATTAGAAGTTCTTGTCTCTTGCTCTGTTAATTGAATGTTAATCTCGCACACGAGGCTTCTGCAGATTCTAGCATGCCATTAGCAGAGAAGAAGAAAATAAATGATAAATTAAGCACACTGTGCAATAAGGGAAGTTTTTAAGGATGTTTGTTTTTTTCAGGAAGGAAGGGAAGGGTTGGTTAAAGCTGCATCAATTTACAAAATTAACTCTTAAACTGAGCAGTAGAACTGCAGGAACATGATCTATACTCCAAATTGACTTTATCAAGCTAAAGTTTTTTTCAGTGCTTAGAGTGTCCCTTTAATGTAACAGGATTCCACTCACCTGCAGGTTGCATTGGTGGCAGTACGAGCTGTAATCTTCAATGAAATATGACTTGTGTGATTAGAAGGTGGGTCACCAATGGTATCAACACACATTATATGGATCAAGTCCCCTAAAAACAGTCCATAATAAGTTGTTTCATGAAGCACCACTGCACAGTTGCAATTAATATCCTTCTCAAACTGGTTTGATAAAGGTATTTTGACAAATGTATTTAAATGTTAACTGTATTACACTTAGTGATCACAAATATTAAAACTGATGAATAGGATCCAGAACATTTATTTTGACTTCACCTTTCTGATACTGTGATCAATACCTTCCTCTCCAATGTGCCTCCAAAAAGGCAGATGAGCTCCAAGGACATCAGATTCGACAGAGGGCATTAACAAGGGTGAGCAGAAGATGGAAGTATTAAAACCTCAGTCTTCCAATTTGAAAGTGGTCGACCTATTCACCATTTCCCCCAAATGACCAACAGATTGATATCCTTGGTAAGGTCTATATTTTGTCCGTGTTCCATCTTTTGGCAAATTTGGGTGGATGAGGGACACTTACCTTATTTTAACATATTACTATCTATATTTAGGACATTATAGGCACCTTCAACCCCATTTGTTATTGTGATTAAGAGTATGAATGTATATATTGTTGTCCACTCTATTCATCCTAGGGCATTTTTTGGTATACAGTATTTGTATATAAGTGTGATGTCGCTATGTATTGGAGGAGTGAGATGGGATTTGTGCAATGGACTCATTCTCCTTGTGGCTAGATGGAAGAACCCGATAGATGTGACAAGCAGGCAATCAGAACGCATGTGCGTTCCATCGGAAAGGAACTTGGATACGAGACCCAGCAATGGAACGCACGTTGCGTTCCAAGCGGCCAAAACCCGGAAGTGCAGCATAAAAGCGGCGAAACCAGCGGAAAACTCCTTTTAAAAAGAAAAAAACGAACTGAACACTACAGAGCCAACTGAAGAAGCCTGTATATCAGGCGAAACGCGTTTTGGACACTCTTGCTCTATACAGGACTTTACCTATATCCAATATTTATTGGTATAGTGTTTCTGTTATTATTTATTTTTTACTTTCTTAACATTTTATCATTGAAAATAAAGATACATTATTTTTATAAATAAGAACAAGCACCATATTAAGAAAAAATTTGGGCAACACTCAAAGGACCATAAAGAGGAATATCCAGGAACCAACGACAGAAGGGTCTGGACAACCCCTCTAGAGTCATATGATGGTATGACTCTAATCTTGTGAGTTTAACCCATTTATCTTTACTTTTATCATCTTTATTTGTTCAGACTTTCTACGCTATTTGTATTTACTCTGTTTTACAGATAATACAGGACATTACGCAGCTCCACCTATCACCTTGTATGTATTATATTGTTTGTTTAGTGGTGTAAGGGGTACCACTTTATAGGTGTATTTAGAGCTCACTTTCTAACACTGTGTACTATTTTATTTTATATTGCTGTACTTACCTTTTTTGTCCGTAAACTCATACTGCACAAATACCATCTCTCGCATCAGGAACAAAACACAAAGTCCGACGTAAAGCACTAACTAAGTACTCTAATTAATAGTGATGTCCCGAACGGTTCGCCGAATGGTTCGCCACGGACTCATCATTGAGTAAACTTTGACCCTGTACCTCACAGTCAGCAGACACATTCCAGCCAATCAGCAGCAGACCCTCCCTCCCAGACCCTCCCACCTCCTGGACAGCTCACTAAGAATGCAGCTTCACAATGAATGTAAAATGGATGCTGTCCATGAGGTGGGAAGGTCTGGGAGGGAGGGTCTGCTGCTGATTGGCTGGAATGTGTCTGCTGACTGTGAGGCACAGGGTCAAAGTTTACTCAATGATGAGTCCGCGGCGAACCGTTCGGGACATCACTACTAATTAATAGTCATTCTGAGTACCAGATTTATTGAGATCTGTTCTAACAAGGAATTTCTTCCTATTTACCTATTCAATTGACATTTTTACAATCAAACCTGGGGTACTACGCTGGGGGTATGTCTTGAGGGAGGAACATACCTTACCAGACAGCTCCCTGAGCCATGTATGAATAAGAAATGTCTTGAACTTATGTTTCAATAGTGAAATAGGTGGCAAAACCCTTAAATCTCTGGTTTGACTATATTAACTGCACCGGATAAGAAAAAAATGCCTCTAACAACTTTGCTGTATTGGGGCAGTTATCACTATAGATTATTAAAATGTGGCATCCCTACCAGCCAATACCTGCAACTAAAATGCAATTGCACCTCAGTTGATGATTTTAAGTTCAAGAAAGCTTTACTAAAAGGTGTCTAAAGAGGCCATATATGTATGCACTAAATACCAACAAAGATGACTTATCTGATGTGTTTTAGTGTAAGAATATAGTGTAATATATAGCCACTAGTCACTCAGGCTGGGCTACCATGATGCATATATTATGCAAATACTGGCCTATCCTAACAGCTGATGTTCAATTAAGGGATGCCATTACCCCACATCCCTCAATAACTGCTAGACACAGACGCAATTGCAAAGATTCCCTTGTGCAGAGCCACTTGGTAGTATTATTTATAAAGCACCATAAAGTTGCATAAATTATTATTAATAAGTCACTTAATTTTTTCAGAAATTTATAGTAGTGGTACTATTTTTCCCCAATAGGGCAGTAGTACTTACTTTGTGTCTTCATGGTGCCATGTGAAACCAGAACAGTGGAATGTGCAAATACGCTATTTTAATGGCCTGGGGCCGACGCGGAGGGCTGATATAGGACTCTGGGACTTGCCTGGCGGTAGGGGCCAGAGACTATGCATTGGTATTTAATGACTTGCTACAATACTGTCAAAGCAAGTGGTGAATGCCTCGTTTTAGCTTAAGTATATTACTTACCTCACCGTAGTTATCTTGTTTGTCTCAGTGTGCCTGGGTCTCTGGCCCACCCTTCCATGGTCTACTGTACAGTAACACCAGTTATGACTTTTGTTCTTTAACTACTTTTGGTTTTTATTTCTTGTCTACAGCCGTGTTTGTTTCCTAGTACACCAACAGTGTGATAATTAGAATGCACTGATAAATGCTTATCTCTCACCTCGAGTTTACATTGTCTGTTCTGGTATGTGACAGTCTGCATACTGCAATGCTCTTTCACTACATTGTTAGATAAAGGCGGTGCTGGTGTTATAATTTTAACAGAGGTCAGAGGGCCTTGAATACTTGAGATGCCGACCTCCTCATGTTTATATAAAAATTGCATATGTCATATTCCTGTTACAACTATACACTTTTTATTGTCGTACATCATCTTGCGAAATGTCTACGCGACCGTGTTTTTCAAACATTGCTCTACAAAATAATAAAGCGTGTCAAAAAAAGAAAAGTGCTGCTTCTCTTAATTTTGACAATTCCGCGGAAACTGTGGAAGACAAAAAGTAAGAAAAAGGCCTTTTTCATCAGTTTAGCGGATAGCTCCCTAATTTAGCATCCTTAAATATTGGCTATTGGTAATCCCACATTGGGGTTACATAGTACTCTTAAAAACAGGACTGTGAGTGTGTCACTCTAGAGAAGTCAGCGGTACACTCTCAGTGTACCAAATATGGAGCAAGCAACTACTGAAACAGAAAAGTTAGAGAGGTTCTGTGCTTTTCTTAAATCCAACCTGATGTATGAGCTGATATAACTGAAGTGCCAAAATTAGGAAAAAGTTTTCGTTTTTTTCTTAATTTTGGTCTTCTTTCAGCGGTTTAGAAGATATCTCCATGGTACACTTTAGGGCTATCAGAAAGAAGGAGCTTGAAAGTTACTAAAACTAACATCCATCAGAAAATCTCTCTATTATTTATTTTCTTATATAATATTATTATAAGTATAAGTGAAATTACATAATTGTGGAAAATAAAAAAAGGTACAATTACATTATATTATACAAGAAAAGAAGAATAGAGAGATGACTGTTGTGTTCGGTTTGCGGAATTCCTTTCGTCCTAATAGAATTTCCGATATGAAAATAATGAACGAATCTCGTCTGAAAATAAACGGACAAATGGCCAGACTTTTTTTTTTCCGGTAGAAACATTTTTTTTCCTACGAATTTTGGTGGCTCCTAAGTCTAGTGTAAAACACATTGGCCACAAGTCACTGTAAAGTAAATACACACAGGCATATACACACTATGTACTAAATATTAATTCTGAGAAAATGTTGACCAATCCATTATGTATTATATGGCAAATAAAGTTTTTTTGATACATGTTATGTCTTTGCATATAAAAAAAAAAGGGGGGGGGGGATGACACTGTGTACTGTGTTGACCACAGGGGAAATTTTTTTTTAAAAAAAGCTATCCCTTGTGACCACAGGGACACATGCGGTCTGTCTTAAGTCCAGTGTCTCTCAGAGGTCTGTGGGAGAACACAGGATCCTCCAATAAACATCTTGGTCAAAGAGATACCTTTACCCACAGATGTCTCTAGCAAAGGTTTCGTGGAAATAAACATTGACAGCATAAGCTGCCATGCTTGTGTCAACCACACAACCACACACTGTCCATAAGATAAACACCCAACATGTCATATATAGATCGCACTGAACTATACACACACACACACATATATATATATATATATATATATATATATATATATATATATATATATATACACACACTATAAAATCCCATATAACACCTGTGTAAAATTGTCACTACTTTCCAGGTATATCTTAGCCTAGACATTATAGAAACACATTTAATTGATATACTAATTACAAAGTATAAATATACAATAGGCATACAAGTGTAAAGTGTGCACAAATAATAAATTTATAGCATAAATGCAAATCATACACACACAACAACCATATACAGACACATACACAGTATGTCCATATTCATGGTATATGTATGTATGAGTACTTAGCATACATAATTCAGACATTTATATATATATATATATATATATATATATATATATATATATATATATATATATATATATAAAAGCAAACACATTATACATAGACTGACATACACATTACACACATCAACTGCATGCACTATGTACATTACTTTACATTAGATGTGCAGATAATTATTATACAATGTACTTATCGTATTGTTAGAGAGAGAGGGACAGGCTGGTGAATTCATACATCTCTGAACATATCTCACAGACAGGTCATCCCTGCTCCCAGTAGAATGGGGTACACCCCCCCAGGCAGTGCCTCTCAGCATACTGAGGTACATGCACTAACCCACCAGAATTGGGTACTGTACATCCCTATGCTACAATCCAACACACAGCCAAGATAAACTAACAGTGGTAATTAGCACACCCCCTCTGTGCACACACTCACCTCTCGAAGATTAGCTGTCTCCCCGACCCCATTGAGCTCCATATCTACGGTGTTAGTGTCCATAGCTAAAGGTGCAGAAAAGGGCAGAGAGTGCAACTTTTATCCGGGCAGCCCCCTAGACAGGGCTCAGGGGGAGGACCTGCGGTGACAGTATGGGGAAGTTAGTACAACACCTCCTCCCCCTAGCGGCAGCCGCTGAGAATACAGTCTAAACATTGCACTCTCCATACCCACTGCCCTGAATTCCCATATTAAATTATCTTTTTACGTCCAAGATGCAGCAAATAAGAGGACTTCGTCAAGCTTATAACTTTCCAAAACACCGTGAAACCTGGACTGGGGGAACTGTTGTACTCGTGAGACATTACTGAACACATATGTAATTGTTTTAGAGCAATAAAACATTTAATGCTGATGATGTCATAGGTGAAAGGGCAGTTTATTTGTGAAAAATGCAATTTAAAAAAAATTAACACTAACTTTGGCCAGAGTTTGTGACTACTAAAAAAGACAGGACATACCCCATTTTGAATACGCTGGATTGTCTACTTTTTCAAATGGTGTGCCATGATGGGGGAAAATTTCATTCCTGGGCCACTATATGGTCTCAAAGGCAACATTTTAATGTGTAAAAACTGTAAATAGAGAAAACACTATATTTAACACTGTACCTTTTCAAAACACCATAAAATCTGTACATGGAGGGGGGGGGAGGGGGGGTAGGGGATACTTGTGTACTCAATTTTTCTTTTATTCATATGAAAGTCCTGTTTCTCCTGTACTTAATATAAGAAGAGGTAAATTATGGTTGAACAGACTTATAGCGCAAATTCTAGGTTTTGTTTTGATTAGAACGTTTACCAGTGCCTCCATCCTTAAGGGGTTAACTAAAGCTATCCCATCTGGTCACATATATATTCTCTTAAGTTCTGTACAGGGGCCTGCATCCCTTTTTACTCAGAGATCTATGGGAGACCACTGGATGTCATACTTACCCGTTCCAGAGCTCCCCGATCCGGCAGTGCATCTGGCGGTGGGTCAGACGCTGCACGCTGTGCATGTGCGTCTATTTGTATGGAGTAGCGCGACTCAAAGTGCTGAACCAATCGGCAGGGCCAATGAATGCAGCGTGTGTGTCAGTGTAATGAATGCAGAGTGTGTGTTAGTGCAATGAATGCAGTGTGTGTGTCAGTGCAATGAATGCTGAGTGTGTCAGTGTAATGAATGCAGAGTGTGTGTTAGTGCAATGAATGCAGAGTGTGTGTTAGTGCAATGAATGCAGAGTGTGTGTTAGTGCAATGAATGCAGAGTGTGTGTTAGTGCAATGAATGCAGAGTGTGTGTTAGTGCAATGAATGCAGTGTGTGTGTTAGTGTAATGAATGCAGTGTGTGTGTTAGTGTAATGAATGCAATGTGTGTGTCAGTGTAATGAATGCAATGTGTGTGTCAGTGCAGTGAATGCAGAGTGTGTGTCAGTGCAGTGAATGCAGTGTGTGTTAGTGTAGTGAATGCAGAGTATGTGTCAGTGTAATGAATGCAGAGTGTGTGTCAGTGTAGTGAAAGCAGAGTGTGTGTGTCAGTGTAGTGAAAGCAGAGTGTGTGTGTCAGTGTAGTGAAAGCAGAGTGTGTGTGTCAGTGTAGTGAAAGCAGAGTGTGTGTCAGTGTAGTGAAAGCAGAGTGTGTGTCAGTGTAATGAATGCAGTGTGTGTTAGTGTAGTGAATGCAGTGTGTGTGTCAGTGTAGTGAATGCAGAGTGTGTGTCAGTGTAGTGAATGCAGTGTGTGTGTTAGTGTAGTGAATGCAAATTTTGTGTCAGTGTAGTGAATGCAGAGTGTGTCAGTGTAGTGAATGCAGTGTGTGTCAGTGTAGTGAATGCAGTGATCATCGCTATATATAGGTGCAGAAAGTAATTGTGGGGCCCTGGACTGCCAAAGCAGTCCGGGCCCCCCAGGACCGCCGGGCCCGTGACAACCGTTATGGTTGTCACCCCCTGATGGCGGCCCTGCCAATCAGTTCGCACGAGCTGAAACTCCAGAATTCGGCTTTTCGCTTTTAGCCAAATTTAGGCTCTCTACTGTGATGCAGACCAGTGGGATTGATTCCTTGACTTTATAAGCCACAGGCTTTCAGTAGGCACACACGCACCCTGACACACAGATGCACACACACTGACATGTATACAAACACATAGTTTCAAACAATGACAAACATGTACACTGACACAAAGATGCACACCCTGACACACAGTGGAGTGGAACCTGTCTTGTGAAACCGCTGTATGGTCTTGCCCACCGTGCTGCAGCTCAGTTTTATGGTCTTGGCAATCTTCTTATAGCCTATGCCATCTTTATGTAGAGCAACAATTCTTTCTTTGCCATGAGGTGCCATATTGAACTTCCAGTGACCAGTATAAGAGAGTGTGGGAGCAATAACACCAAATTTAACACACCTGCTGCCCATTCACACCTGAGACCTTGTAACACTAACGAGTCACATGATATCGGGAGGAAATGGCTAATTGGGCCAAATTTGTACATTTCCACTTAGGGGTGTACTCACTACTGCAATCCAGGACATAGCTCAGATCATCTACAGCTGAAGCAGTGCCTTATGCAAGTCTGAGTAACATACCTGGGCGTGCTTGTACTTTACTATATGTGTGTGTGTGTATGTGTATGTATATATATATATAGTCAGGGCCGTCTTTAAGGAGGGGCAAAAGGGGCAGCTGCCCTGGGCCCAGTTACTCCTGGGGGCCCTAAGGCAGCTGCCCCATGGGCCCCCTGCAGCTGCCCCATTGGACCCCTGCAGCACCTGAGGTAATCAGGGGCCACAGCCCTTTAATACTGCTCTAGACCGGGCCCTTGTAATATGGGGGTTGGCTGAATACAAACACACAGCTAGCCCCTCACACACTTCCCTGTGATCCCTTTTCTTCTCCGTGGCATGCTGGGAGGCAGTGAGGTCAGATCACTTCCTCCTCAGTGCCGCTGGGGAGGAGGCACACACCACACGGAGGAGGATGCAAGCATTTTTGGGGAGAGGGACTGAGAAAGCTGATGGCAGACTCCCATCAGCCTGGGCCAGCAAGCTCCCACTGGACCCCAGGGAAGCCACCTTTCTGTACCCAAAAGGTAAGGAGACAGGAGGGTGGCTAAATATGTTTTGTTTTTTTGTTTTGCTTATTTCTGATTTCACTTTTATTCAAGTGTTGGTGTTTGTAATGTAACACACAGGGAATAAGTAAATGTTAAAAATCCTAGAAGAACCTGACAGTTCCCTATTAAATATAAATTTTAAAAGTATTTATTTTAACATATTATTGCATCAAGTGTTATCAAAGGCTGTATACCATTTCCAAATGTCACTTTTGCCAAATTCTGGACCAGGGTATGTAAGAACAGAGTTGAGACATTATTATGGCCAAGGTTGCTGGGAGTTGCTGTCCAAGAGCTGCTAGAAGGCAGAGATTAAAATATGTAAATGTACACATATATGTGTGTGTGTATCTGGCTGTGTTTATGTCCTTGTGTGTATCTGGCTGTGTTTGTGTCAGTGTGTGTATCTGGCTGTGTTTGTGTCAGTGTTTGTATCTGGCTGTGTTTGTCTGTGTGTCAGTGTTTCTGTGTGTATGTGTATGTGTATGTGTCAGTGTGTGTAAGTGTGCATCTGAGTGTGTGGTAATGCATACATCCCAGCATTTTAATGCCAACACAAATACACTCCATCTCTAGCACTGTACACATATACACCCCTGCATTTATACCTTTATGTATGTGTGTATCTGAATGTGTGTGTACATACCTGTGTCAGTGTGTGTGTGTACCTCTGTGTGTGGATGAGCCAGTGTGTGTGTGTATCAAAGTGCTTGTATCTGTGTGTCAAAGGGTGTGTATCTGAGTGTGTGTGTGTGTGTGTGCCAGTATGGTCAAGGTGTGAGCATGTGTCAGTGTGCCTATGTGTGTATCTGCGTGTTAATGTGTATGTGTATATCTGTTATAGAAATCACACAACATGCAAACACAAACATTACATACAAACACACCAGTTTGCTGAAACACCAATACTACACACAAATGTACACAACACTACATCCAAACAACCCCCTGCATGCAAATACAAACATTAAATACAAACACATTCCTGTATTAAACCGCTAAAATTATATACAAACACCAACTCTACACACAAAAGTACACCTGCATTTAAAAGCCAATACTACAGACAATCACACATTACTGCATTCAAACGCAAACACTACACAAAAGTACATCACTGCATTCCAGTGGTAACAGTACATACAAATACACCCCTACATGCACACATACACTCTATACAATAACATGCTGACATTCAATTGCACAAACACTGCTCAAAAATACAACCCTGCAAGGATGGTAGATCCCCACCTGGCATAGCATCGCAGGAGTTGTATGACAGATGGGGATCTATCTTTTCTTTACTCTTGTGCTACAGGGCAGGCCTGAATTATTATTTTTTGCACCAAGGCACTCTCTACATTAGTTTCGCCTCTAGGTTGGGGTGGAGGGAGTGATTGCATGCCCAGGGGGCCCAAGCAGATGCTTGCCCAGGGTCCAATCAATATTAAAGACGGCCCTGTATATAGTGTGTATGTTCTTATTCATACATACATGCATATATTTTGTAGTTTGTCTCGTTCTGCATGCTAAAGCTAGTTGGTTCCAGCCCTGCTCATCATTGTTGGTTTGTTAACTTAAATGTTATTCATCTATCTGCTTAGAAACGGCTGTGACCAAAGTATCCAGCGATTTAATTGCTGCTAAATCTCGCGGCCATTACGCTATCCTAATTCGCCTTGATCTTTCTGCTGCCCACTGTTGATCATCAACAGCTGTAATTTTGGTCTACATGATACTGCTCTCTCCTAGTGCTCCTCCTACTCTCCCAGCGCTCTTTCAGTGTTTATTTCTCTGACTATGCCTCTTCCCCCAACCACTCTCTGTCGGCGTCCCCCAAGGTTCTGTCATTGGTCCCCTACTGTTCTCTATCTACACTGCCTCCCTTGGTAAACTCATCAGCTCCTTTGGCTTCCGTT